GGATTACTGTCAGAATAGCACCAAGTCAAGTGGGTAAATAGTCTAAATTTTGTAATCTAAACATTGACCAATAGTGTCAGTTATCAGATTTCAGATTTTCCACTGTTAATGCCTCTAGATTGCCTAAAAATGTGAGTTTACAGGTATAATTTTTAAAAAATTTCCCGGGGGAGGACCCCCCTCTATTCAGGGGGGTATTCCATACCCCCCAGACCCCCCCGGTTGGTGCCTTCAGGCTGGTCAAGGTTTACGCCCTAATAGAGTACCCAGTCCGCCCCTGATGATACATTAAAAAACTTTGGCATGTCAAAATTGTGTGAGCTGCTGCCTAAGTGGTGCATTTTGGCTTGACCCTCAGGTACACATTATGTGTGTGTACGTGTGTACCACCAATATGTAAATTTAATGATTGATGGTGCCAAACTTAATGTTAACTACAAAGAGTAACTGGAGTTAATGGTATGTGACACTAATGAGTATGACGGTATGGTTTTGGGCTTTTTATTACTGTTATCATTTCTCTTTGGTCTATTGTAACTCACTGTTTAAACTCGATACTATCTGGTTGATCCTTCTATGAATCCATCAACTTTTCAAGTAGAGTTCCTGTTCCTGGACACAGTTTCCCAACTTACAGTCATACTCATAAGTGTCATACGCAACGAGCACGTCATATGCTATTAACTCCAGTTACTCTTTGTAGTTAACATTAAGTTTGGCACCATCAATCATTAATTTTACATATTGGTGGTACATAAACAGAATGTGTACCTGAGGTTCAAGCCAAAATGCACCACTTAGGCAGCAACTCACAAAATTTTGATCTGCCAAAGTTTTAATAATGTATCATATGTATAACACTGACACTCTGGATGAGTCTTCTTAAATGCTAATACAGTCCATCTAAGTAACATAGAACCGTTGACTGTAAATCCTTAGGATAGAACCAAACGCTTTTGTTTTAATATTTTATTTCCATTTATAACCACTTTGGTTCTTAATCTTTTTTTCCTGGACATATTCTAGCTTTTAATTTTTTAACAAGTTTACTGTTGCATTGTTATTAGCTTGTGTATAGATTTTCTATACCTAAAGCTGGTGATTAAAGCTGGCGCAAAAGTTGAAGTTTCCTTTAAATTCAAAATTTTATAACTCGGCTTAGGATCAAAAATACCAACATTGAAATTTTTGCTGTATGTTGCTACCAGATAGGCACATCACATATGTAAAAATTAGATTTTTATAGTTTGCCCCACCAGAAATATTGCAATTCAAACTTTTGAAAAATTGGAAAATTTAAATTTTTAATAGCTTATAAAAAGTTAAGGAGATTGAATTCAGACTTGATATTCTGACATATGCAAGTATTTTACCATATCTTACAGGATAAAAATCATTCAGCTATGGTATTTCATTCCTTCATTGTAAAACTAGGCCTTAAAAAGAACACTTTGTTGAAAAAGTATTGTAAAAATAAGATGACAATTTTAAGGTGCTAGTGCTTGTTTTAGAGAAAATGTTTAGATGACCTCATTTATAGAGGGGATTTCGCTGAAAATAATGGTACAAGTCTCATTGTTCTAGCTCTATTCTGTAAAAAGATATTTAATTTATCGCTGATGCCTGCAAAGCCCAAAAACGCCGTGCGCGGCCTGACAAAGATGGCCGCAACTTCTAAACGGAACTAGATAAAAATATTTTAAAAACTGTTTTGAGGTCATAATTATAAAGTTAATCTATATCTATACTATCATATAAAAATCGAATGGTGTCTGTCTGTATGTGTGTTACTAATAGGTGCAAAACTTACTAAACCAACTGGGCTTAAATTTTACAAAAATATAGCTACCATACCAAGGACCCTTACAGGGCCATTCACATTTCGATACTGAACGTAGGCTTTGCCCCTTTGGCTTTAAAAGTTCTGAGGTGAACATTTTAAAAGTAAATATTGATTGATCTCCATAGCTGTGATGAGAACACTAACAATGTTTGTTTACATTCGCTTTGACATTTAAATGTAAACAAGAAGAACTGCTAAACTGCATATTTCACAATTTCAGACAGCTGATACTACAAAGAAAATAAATATAATATTTTCCATAACTATGAGGTAGGTTTATTTTAATCTAACCTTTTATCGTGGATTATTTATTAAAAAACTATGTCAATGATTATAGAAAAAAAGATTCTATAACCGTTGCTGTATCAACTCTGGCTCTGCTTTGGATTTTTTAAAGCGTCTTAGTTAAGAAAATAATGTTATTGGTATGTTTTCATGAAAACAGTATGAAAATTAGGGTCTGACTTAGGGGAGGTACGAATGAGGCATTAGTTCAAAACTCCTCCGTGAACAGCGCTGTAGTAGCACTTTGGCAATGAAGGTTTACTAATACTAATCGCAAAAATAGTTCTGTTCATAAAATAAAATTATAAATACCTCAAATTCAATTTTTTAATTGTTTGATTATAAAATTAAACTATCATAACTTAACCGAACTAACCAAACTTGCTGATAATGAAATAATATAAAAAAGTTTACTAATAGAAAAAATAATTCTGTTCATTAAATAAAACTAGAAATTACTCAATTAAAATTGTATTCTATATATTAATTTGAAACTGTTTTTCTTTGTCATAGCTATTTTGAGAGAACGGCTGGGTGTAGAAACTCGGTAGAGGTGTCTAAAGAAAGGTCTTGGTCTGTAGATGAGCCATCAAAAGAGAAACATGGTGAATTCCCTTGGGGCTCTGCCCCAGTGGCCTTTAAATTCCCATCCCATGTTATTCTTATGGAGGAAAACGGGGTTTTTGTCACAGCTAATTTGAGAGAACGGCTGGGCGTAGAAACTTGGTAGGGGTCTCTAAAGAAAGGTCTTGGTCTGTAGATGAGCCATCAAAAGAGGAACGAGGTAAATTCCCATGGGGCTCTGCCCAGAAGCCTTTAAAGTTGCTTCTTCAGATTTGTTTACATTACGACCATATGCATAATTCTACCCTACTTTTTAATGAAACAGCTGTTAATATTTAAATTGTGATTTATTGAATTTGTCAAAATGAAGTAGCCTACAGTATTTGCAATGGGTTTTTCTGATTTTAAATTGGATTTTCTTCTGCATCGTGTCTTTTTTTAATGTTCTATTACCAAATCAGTGGAAAATCCTAATATCACAGTAACTCTTGATATTCTTAGGCGTATTGCATCTGTAGACGAAACTTCGGTTGGTGAAATTATTACAATGGAAAAAAGCGAGAAATCCTGGACAGTTTGATACAGGCTAAAAATAAAACTGAATTAACAATATGCTACATTTCTTGAGCAATCATTGAAATAACCGATTTGCAAACAATGGAAACATAGAAAAAGTCATAGAACACAACCAAGTAGAAGAAAAGAAATAATGTTTTTTTTTTCATTTTCAATTGTTATTATAGACAACCTAATGCGGCTATGAGAGGGAAAAATTTGTAGAAACACTAAAAAACAAGATCAGCTTTTTGAGAAAAGATGAGATATTTACAAAAGATTTTGATTATATCTAACTGTTGTGTAGATCGTGAGTATTTCCATAATCTTCGTGAGTCGCCCTTAATGCTTTGCAATTGCTCGAATTCGAGCAACAGGTACACTAGTAATGACTTAATAATAAAATTAAACTGTCATAACCGAACCAAACCAACCAAACTTGCTGATAATGAACAAATCTTAGACAAAAAGTTAGTGCCGCCAGCGGGATTCGAACCCGTGACCTTCAGCTTATCAGCCCGGCACGCTAACCACTAGTCCAGCGAGGCCGATAGCTAATCGCCGTATTGTTACGGTAATGGCGTTCCCTCAGCTAATAAGAAGCCCACAGCTGTCATTGTAGGCTCCTCTATACCTCCCCTGAGTAAATACCTGAAAATTACAAAGTAGCCTATAGATGTTTTGTGTGAATTTGGAGGCTGCTTTAAATAAATTCTAACTGCTTAACATGTGTTAGATTAACTTAACATAACTTGCACATCACATTATTTTTTATATGTATATGTAGGTAAATTAAGCTATTGTGTTTTGCTAAACCTATGCTTAAATTAAACTAAAGAATATCATCAATAACTAAATTGTACGTCGTTGATTTTTGTTTTCTAAAATCTGTTGTATATGTGTAACTATATTTTATTATCAAATGGTAATACAAAATACTCTTATTTTATCTTAACATAGCTTTCAGTTCACATTTACTTTATTTGATACATTTATTATTTGTGTTTTGGCACACCACTGATTAAATTAAACCAAGGAAAATATCATAAAACTAAGTTAATAAAAGTTATCGTCTTCACGGACATATATATATATATACATACACATATGTACAAATTTGAACGAATATTGTTTTTGTTATGGGGACATCAAAATGAAAAAGTAAATCGGTCCTGGGCCTACGTCTTACCATGAGACCTACGGTAATAGCTGCTTACCTGTAGGGAAATTCGCTAAAAACACTTAAAATGCACTTTAAAAACTTCTACGAAGATTGCACGATATGAAACCGCTATTGCTGCAGTCAGGCATGACGACGATGACGTTTCCGTGACTGCGGGAAGCGATGATTATGTCTACATGACTGCGGGAGATGTTCATGATTTTGCCGCTATCGCGAAAGACGACAATGACGTTTCCGTGATTGCAGGATTGGATAATGATGTCTGCTCGGATAAACGGCCGAGGGAGATAATCCAAATTTTGCAGTGATCGCGAAAGACCTCACCCATCAAAAGAAGCCGGATTACTGGAGTGCTGGAGTGGCGCAGTGCATGATTTAGAGACGGTCTACTGTACATATCTTATGAACAGTTTACTGAACTACCTTAAATTCTCAATTCAATGTAAAAAATCAATAGCAATATACCTTATTTACTCTTATTAGGATTTTAGTAACTAGTAATTCATCCATCTAACACTGGTCTTATAGCTAAGTAAGGTTGTACAATATTTATGAAATTTGGGTTTACAGAAGCACGAGATGAATACATCGGACGTTTTCTTGGAGGTGAGATTGGCCGATACACATGGGTCCCAGGACTCAGGAGCAAGTAAGAACACCTGTGGGCCTGATAGTAGCGTAGATTTAATACAAGGAGTTCTCGGGTGTATTTAAATTCCATGATAATAGTATATTAATAGCATTCTCTCCCAGTAAACATTTTGAAAATTATACCTGTAAACTCATAATTTTAGGCTATTTAGGGACAAATAAAAGAGATTTTTAGACTGTGGAAAAAATTTGTTATTGTAAAAAATATGTTTTAAGTCGGGGTGTTTAAACCTCTAAACCCCCCTGGATACGCCACTGCTACAAACACTGCTTGACTTGACTTGAGAACATCGCAACAATTGGTATAATTATATCGATCACGGACGTATCGCGAAAAATTTTTTTGTTCACTATTCTTATGCTAAATTACGTCCTGAATTCAAAAATGATTGTCATTTTCGTCGGAAAAGCGGACAAACGGAAAAAACAAAAATTTCGCGGAAAAAAAATCTCAAGATCCGATTAATATTAACGGAGATACGGCCGAAAAAGCGCGGTTTCCCCGGAAAAACGAAAAAAACCAATTTTTGCGGAAATGATTCATGTGTATACTCAAATTAACCGGTAGAGTGAACTGAACAAGAATATGCAAGATTTTTCAAGATCCGATTACTATTAACGGAGATACCTACGGCAGGAAAAGCGTCGGTAAATCGAGTTAGTGTCAAAATGGACTAGGGATGGACGAGATTGGATTTTTAGTTCGAGACGAGACGAGACGAGATTTTTATTTCTCATAAAATTTCGAGACGAGATCGAGACGGGATTTCCCTTCTCATACACAACGGGAAATGCACGTTCAAAATTTTTACCTAATTTTGTAACATTGTTAGATGACTGTTTAAATACAAAAATAATGATAATAGGCAAGAATATTTACAATCTTTTATTAAAAAACATCAGCATAACATTTTTTTATTAATCAAGCCTAACTTATTAAAAATGCCTACGATTAGGAAACATAGTGATATCAGTTAGGATAGAGTTAAACTTATCCTAAAATAAAATAAATTGTAAATTGTAAGATTGTAATTTTTATAAAATAGTTACTTGTTTTGACTTTTTATAGTAATAAAACATTCCTCACACTGCTTACACTTAACAAAACTTCTCAAATGTTATTAAAGTAATATTATTAAAATAATTAAAGTAATATTTACATTTAAAGAATTAATTAAATAAGAACGCCTTCGCAAAGGAAACGCAACTACAACACGCTCCTGTATTGCACATTGCATTGACTTTCTGCAGGCGTTTTTAATTTTTTTTTTTTTTTTTTTTATATATATTCTTGTCTCGATAAAAATCTCGGTCAAAAAAAAATCTCGTCTCGTGTAACAAGATTTAAAATTTCCCGAAAATTTCCCGAAATTTTGAGACTTGACCATCCCTAAAATGGACAAAAAAAGGTTAGGTTAGGTTAAGTTAGGTTAGGTTAGGTTAGTTTGGGTTAGGTTAAGTTAGGTTAGGTTAAGTTAGGTTAGGTTAAGTTAGGCTAGGTTAGGTTAGGTTGGGTTAGGTTAAGTTAGGTTAGGTTAGACAACCTAATGCAACCTAACTTAACCTAACCTAACCTAACCTAACCCAACCTAACCTTATATAATCTAGGGTATAAAGAATATATATTCACCAAATAACCTCTAAATCGCTCCCACAGACAGCAGCACCTACGGATCCTCCTGATGCCGTTGTTCCTGTGACTAATGAACTTTTCCGCCCGCGCTTTTTCGGCCGTATCTCCGTTAATATTAATCGGATCTTGAAATTCTTTGCATATTCTTGTTCAGCTCGCTTTACCGGGTTATTTGAGTATACACATGACCCATTTCCGCGAAATTTTTGTTTTTTTCCGTTTTTCTGGGAAAACGGTGCTTTTCCGACAAAAATGACAATCATTTTTGAATTCAGGACGTAATTTAGCATAAAAATAGTAAACAATATAAGTTAAATATTTAAATTTTTCTAATATTTCTTGATTTTGATTGGTCGATATCTACTTGCGGTATACCTGGATAAAGTATACTATCAGTCTGGAAAACCTGGAAAAGTCAGGGAATTTTGTTTTCCAAAAGTTTTAGTATCAACCCTGAGTGTGTTTTTTAGCAAACTACAACTACAACATTTTACAATATTCTGTTATGGAGAATAACATGGGAATTTTACAATTAAATTTTTTTGTAATTTCTCCGTAACTAATAATTGTACAAAAATACTGTGATATACTGAATAATTTTTTTTATAAGCTCTTTAAAAAGATCTAGAGAGAAGTTGGGAAATTTTGTGTTTCGACAGTCAAGAATAAGGAAAACCAATTTTTACCCCTATAAAACCCTCCGTGAAACCCCGTTCCCATAGTCCGATGAAGCTGGTTCGCGAACTCATCCAAGTTTATCCTGCCTTACACCTTCAAACCAAATTTCATTACAATCGGACAAAAATTACTCAAGTTATCGCGTTCACGGACACATATATAAAAATTTGAACGAATGGTGTTTTTGGCCTCTAAGAACATCAAAATTAAAAAGTAAATCGGTCCCGGGTCTAGGCGTTACCTACGGTAATAGCTACTTCCCTATAGCGAAATTCGCCAATTAACTTGGTCCAATTTTAAATTGTCGGCCTCTTTAATTTTTAAAATTTAAATTACTGAAAAATGGCAGATTTTATGGAAAAAAATAACTTACAATTTTATTTAGCATTTCAAAATTCCTATCAAATGACTAAAAAGGTCAAATAACAAATAGCTGAAATATTAGGATTTTAGTTTTAAAATAAGCAAAAAATTAGGTGCAACCTTTGCTTGCTTATCCTCATTTTACCTGTCATCAGCCTTATGGCTCCTTGGCATTTCAAAACAGCATCTTATTGATCTGAAACATTTTAATTTATCATAAAACCATTAGTTCTGCCCTGGCCAAAAGCACCTAGCCTACCTAGATCTCACATGTTCTCCTCTGTGTACAGATGTAAGCTGACAGACTTGACAACGGGGCTGGATGACGACCCTCAGGCAGTTCAGGCTCTGCCCCCCACCAAGCAGCCTGTGGTAGACGTGCGGCTAGAGGATGCTCAACAACTTGATTACATGCCTCTCAGAGATGAGTTTGAAGTGGTTGGTACCATGTCTGCAGTTATATATACACTTAGATATAGTAACAAATTCAAATTAGTTCAATTGTTTTGTAAATTTTTTTGGGTAGAAATTAAAATACTTTATATTCTTTCACTTAATTTTTAATTAATTTTCTTATGACAAAATTGTAGTATTGAAATTCAGACATAAGTTCTTTATTGTAAAAAAAAATCTAAATCTTTTAAGTATTACCAGGGGAGCTCATGCTAAAATAGTACATGTATTATAGGGTTCAAAATTATTCTCTGAGACACAATGAAAGTTGGATTGTGATTTTAGTTTTCATATTGACAAATTTAAATATTGATTTTATATAAACCACTATTACGACTGATCTCTTTTCATAATCTTAGCATTTTATTATTTCATACTTTCCTAACCTTACTTTTTGCTGTGCACTCAATCTTGCTACACTATGTTTGTTTTTTTCAATTCAATTCAATTCAAATTCTCTTTACTCACTCACAGTACAAGTTTTTATACAATGAATAGCGTCAAATAATATAAAGATGAATTATGCCTTATCGCTAAAACAATCATTATCTTATCAAAACAAATGTTAAGCTTGTTTCTCTTGAATTCCAAAATTCATCCAAAAAATACAAAGACAATGAAAGGAGATAATTTTTCAATCTTTTTTTAAAAACATCAAAACTTTTAGCGAATTTCCCTATAGGGAAGTAGCTATTACCGTAGGTGGCACGGTAAGACCTAGACCCGGGACCGATTTACTTTTTCATTTTGATGTCCCCAGAGGCCAAAAACACCATTCGTTCAAATTTTTATATATGTATATATATATATATATATAGATTTATATATATATATATACGTCCGTGAACGCGATAACTTGAGTAATTTTTGTCCGATTTTGATGAAATTTGGTTTAAAGGTGTAAAGCGGGATAAACTTGAATGAGTTTGCGAACCAGCATGATCGGACCATGGGAACGGGGCTTTACGGGGGGTTTTATGGGGTAAAAATTGGTTTTTCTTACTTTTGACCCTCAAAACACAAAATTTACCAATTTCTCTTTAGACTACCAATTCCCTGAACAGCGATTTACAAAATTTCTTAAAATATGAAAATTTCATTATTCTTAAAAACCTTTTCTGTACTTTAAAAACTTTAACTGAATCACATGATGATCCCCAGAACTCAATCCCATGGTTAATAATTGAAAAAAGAAAGCATAGTAGATATCAATTCTAGTTTTAAGGTCAATATAATTACGTCTAGTCATTTGATAACAGGCTGAATTTAATTTACTAATAATATTATCAATACAGTTACTCCAAGAATAATTAATATCCAGTTATAATCCAAGGAATTTTGGGCTGCCACTAAGTGTTATTAACCGGTCTTGAAAGATGATTTATGAATTATAACCTTGTTTTGACTGTGCGGTACAAAAATTTAATAGTTGAGTTTTATCTTGATTAAGTTTTAGTTTATTTAACTTCAAACCAGCTTGCCAGTTCATAGAAAGTTTGATTAATTTTATGCTCCAATTTAAAATGGGACTTAGCTTCAATAATTGCTGTTGTATATTCTGCATATAAAATAATTTTTGTTGAAACATTCCTAGGTAAAGCAAAGGTCCCATTTTAATTTGTTCCCAAACAGTTCTTTGAAACCGGTTATCTAGGTATGATTTAATCCATGTAATTGATTGCTTAGAAAATTTGTACACATCAAGCTTTTTTAAAAGTATACCGTGGTTAACACAATCATAGGCCTTGGAAAGGTCACAGAAGACCCCAATGGTACTCTGTGACCCATCCAGAGCCCACGATACTTCGTTAACAAGTTTGTTTAGAGCCCCTGCTGTACTGTGATCTTTTTTAAATCTAAATTGCTCAGCGACCAAAATTGAGTGTGCCTCTACAAATGTTGAAATTTGATTTAGTGCTACCTTTTCAACAATTTTGGAAAAAGAAGGAAAAACTGAAATGGGACGATAATTATCAGGATTTTGTTTTTGTCCTTTCTTGAAAACAGGGTTTACTTCTGCGTACTTTAAATTATTAGGAAAAACAGAAATTTTGAAAGATTGATTTATTAAAACCGATATAGGAACAGCAATATAGTGCATTACTTTTTTCATAATTTCCAAAGGTATTTACCAATGGTATTATTTATCCAATGGTAAAGTTTAAATATTTGATATTTTTCAGGAATACGATAACGAAGCAGAAATTTTAGTTTCTCATCTGACCCATAATGCAGACGATGACGAACTGGATACGGGTTAGTAACAAAATAGACTCTGTGATATTTGAACAGAAGTAGGCCTATTTATTGTTACAGCTCAATTAAACTTTGTAAGATATGACTGTTGGACCTAGACACATATGGTCTGTGGTTGTATGTTGCCATTGACTTTTGTACGCTGAAGTGGACATCCCATCTATATGAACCTGCTGTAGTCTTTTTTTGTATTCAGGTAGAACATAGTTAAATGAACCACACTAATAGTTTGCACTACACTGTAGAAATTCTATTTTCTCCTTAATGTTTGGTACTTTGATAACACTGGACTTAAAATATGCTATCGATTTTTCTCAGAAAAAAGTTGGCCTACGGTATTTGACAGAAATTTGTAATATCAGTAAGGACCTTGTTGACGGCTTAATAGAACCACATTCATTTTTTTTGTAAAGCCTGCTTTAGCATGGAAATAAAAAATTTAATTTCTCAAAAAGTTAAAATTTTGATAAAAATCTTTCATAGTTTAATTTTATGTAATTCTTAGGTATATTTTAACCGTATGAGCATAAGCCTAAATGGATATTCACAATGTGAATGTTTTTGCAGCTCTGAAGCTGACCCAGGTGGAGATGTACACCCACAGACTAAGAGAGAGGGCTCGCAGACATAGGGTTGTGAGGGACAACCAACTCATAGCTCAGTTCTTCAGTAACAAGGACAAGCCTAAGAAGAAGATCTCACGAGAAGAGAAGTAAGGAACATCCAAGTCGCAGTTATACAGAGTTACAGCATTGACTGTTGGATACTGTAGTAAACATCCCATCGATATGGACCAGCTGTAGCTTAATTTTTTTTATTAAACAAATTTTAAAAACTTGGCTGAATGAGCCACTTACAGAGATCGAGAGATCCAAAAAAAGTTTCTCCTAGTTTTGGTTTCTGAGTTAGGCCTAGTTGATGTGTCAGAAAAATGCTTATAATAGCTTACAGTAAGTCGTTCCTATCAGTTGTTATAAACAAAACAGAAATCAGAAAGTTGTGTTTTTAATCGTAATTCAACAACACCCATTTTGATTCCATAACTGGTGACCACTTTAAGATGGGGATAGAATGTCTGGCTCTATCAATAATCAAAGGTTACAGTTAGCGTGTAATATAACACTGATCCAGAGTAGTAATAAGAGAGAGTATATCGAAGAGAAATTTAAAATTTATGTCTCTTCCGCTTTCCTTTTTTCATTTCCCTTCAATTTTCTCTTTGAATAAGTTTTGAATTTTGTTGTGTAATGTTTAGCTCCTGGATTATAATATCACCTGGTAAGCTAGCTGAACTCCTAACTTTAATACTTGACAACCTTTTTCAGCTCAATACTCTAGTTGTATTGTTGATGTTGTGTAGTTGCATATTCTTCTAGTTGGTATTAATGTATGTATTTATGTAACAGAGAGTTGGGAGAGAAGCTACGACCGCTGTGTAAGGAGCAAGAGCAGTTTATCATGGTAGGAGTGTTGAAGCAGCGAAGGCTGTCTCGTAGATTATTGGAGCTCATGAGGTATCGACGCAACGGACTGGTCAGGCTGGAGGAGATCCTTCACTTTGATCAGGAGAGACAACTTAAGCACAACACCAAACCCGTAAGTGACAAAAAAAGCTAGATTATTTATATATTTAAACTCTACATCTTATGTGAATAAAACCATACTTTATTAGAATCACTTTCATAAACACCAAACAACCGCATCCAAGTGCTATTAAAGTGATTGATAACAACTTTATTCTTGAAGTTTTCAAGTGTTGCACATTTGCTTTTTTTATTTTATTTTATTCCACAGGTATACTTCAATACTTTTAGTTGGTAGATTTTAAAAACAACTAGCTGGCCCGACAGACGTCGTCCTGTCCTGATGTGGTTTTATGTCAAATGCTCGTTCATTTTCAAGATGAGCTCGTTCGCATGGCTCAATCACGTCCTGGTTGAAGTTCGTTCGTTACGCTCACTCACCTTTAGGTTGGAGCTCGTTCGCTGCGCTCACTTGCCTTCAGGTTAGCTCGTTCGCTACGCTGACTCGCCTCCAGGTTGAAGTTCGTTCGCTATGCTCACTCACCTTTTGGTTGCAAATTAACTGTTGTCATAAATTTAGAAAATAATAGTGCTGGACCCTGTTGGTAAACCTATTAACTTTTTAATGTTATTGAACATCACAGAATCAAATTGTTTAGTTGAACCAGCTGTTAAGATTCTTTAATTCCATTTAAATATGAGTACTCATAAGGTTAACACGGGAAACTCCAGAGCCACTGGGGCGGAGCCCTTTTGACGGATCTGCACCAAACTTCACACAAACCATCCTTGAATAATGCTTAAATGCCTGAAAGTTTCATTACAATCTGTTGAGTGGTTTCGGAGTCCATAAAAGACAAACAAACAAACATACATTGGATTTTATATATATATATAGATATATATATGCAACAGCACCGTCACAGGGCTAATAGGAAGATTATAGTGTTAGTGAAATAGGTTAGAAGATAGGGGTGAAAGAGGGAAGGTGGCAGAGGGTTCGGGATTAATGTCATTGACTATCAATACAACTAGGCATTCCATCCCCTTGTTAAATTTATTTCCAGTTTTCAGTGTTGGGGAAGCTTCTTTTAAAATGTAGCTAGCTACAACTACTGCTACATTAAAGTAGCTTAGCTACAGCTACAGTTCCTATAAAGTAGCTAGCTACAACTACAGCTACAATGAAATGTAGCTATAGCTACAATTTTAGCTACTTTTCCAAAGACGCTACTTTTATTCCACGCACATTAGGTAAATGTAAAATTAATTGCAACTATATAAACCTAACATTACAACAACAGAACCAAAATAAGTTAGTTGGGTGTTCCATCATATTTAGTACTTATTTTTAAATATTGTATTATTTTTAAGCATCTTATATGTAAATTTTATTAAGTTCAAAGGACATACAACCAAACTATATTTTAAAAGCCCATTTTATTTCTTTAATATACATTCATTTATAGATGTCTTTTATCAACTATTAAAAACAATAAAACTGTAAAACGATTATTTAAAAATACTTTTTTGTGTTACAGAGCCTAGCCTACTGAAATTGGAGTTTATTGCCTTTCGTTATTTTTAATGTTAAAACTGACATTGCTATAACTTTTAACCATAGTAATATGTTACTTGTTCTATGAATAACACATTTCAATGTCAAGAAATCGTCCTTTGTCATTGTGCTTCAACAAATATTGGTGCAGAAAACAGTATTCAGCAACTTATCTTTCTAATCTAACCAAGGAAGGGGTTGTGATGATGAACCACAATCAACAGCTGAAGCAAAGGTTGATAGACCAGCTATCTCGTTATTTTAAGGTTTAGTGTTGATTTCCATTAAAACCCAAGTTTAAACTAAATTTATACACTAATAATTTATAACTAAATTGATTACTAATTTCCCTGTCAATCACTTGCAAGCATTCAATAGCTTCTCTTGTCACCGGTAACGTTTAAACGTCATCTGCATCTAGCGATTTTATTTTATCTGACAGTAATCATAGAGTAGCAAACAAAGGAAATGAGAGCCACAAATGTGGATAACACTCAGATAATGGCCTCCATGTCCACGCAACGTTGTAATAGGTAATGAAACGACTGTGACCAGCTGTATGAAGCCAAGAAAGTAGGCCTAATTTTCTTGAAAATCTCAGTTTGAAAAAGGTTGTTTCACGTAAGGTTGTGATAAAAATCACTATCTCAATCAATGTTAATGTAGCGAGAAAAGTAGCTAAAATTCCGCTACATTAACTTTAAAAATGTAGCTAGCTACAAAATCTTAAAAGTAGCGTAGCTACAGCTAACATTACAAAAAAAGTAGCGTGCTACTGTAGCGTCGCTACTTCCCAACACTTCCAGTTTTTGATCAAACTGTTGTAGGATAAAACTTACTTTTAACTGTTTTTTTTTTATCGCATCATTACCCTAGTAATAAGTTATGAAAATAGTAAACAAACACCTAATAAACCTGTAATGTGCTGCAAACCAACCGGTATGTTTCTTTCACTCCACGATCATTCACTCCACCAAGTATTTTTTACAAATTGTTAGTCTGTTTGTTCGCTCCACTGTTCATTCGATCCACTGATACAGTCAGCTCTAGAAGTAGACTAATCAGTAGAAAAGGTAATGTCCAATAATTCCAAAACGTGCTACACCACACCAGACAGTTACTTTTTCATTGTGCAAAGGCTTTTGGAAGATTTCTTTGGGATTTTCCATTGCCCAGTTGACAATTAATTATGTGTGTTGACCCTACCACACAAGTGGAAATTAGCTTCTTCGTACTTTATTAATACCATATGTACTTTATTAGAATGTTTTCACCTTCAATAACCTGTAACAGTCTTTGACTAAACATCAGACGTAATCTAGGGTCACCTTGATTGAGCTTCTATACAACAACCAGCTTGTAGGTATTAAAATTAAATCCAAATGTAAAATAAATTGTTTACTGGAGCTAGAAACGCCTAAAGCAACAAAATGTTTCTTGCTGGTCTTTTTGAACTTTGGAGAACACATTCTCACACTCTTGTGATGTGCTCCTCTGTACATACTGTACACACTTTGGCTTCTCAGGAGGTATATTCTTGGGAACAGATCCCTTAGTTCTTAAATTAAACATCCCAGACTTCAGATAGTATTCCTAGAGGTAATTACACCATAACGAGGGGCATGAAATAATTAAAAACAACCTTTGGGTAACAATCGTAGACTCGTTATTTTATAAATAGCCTTCAACGCAAAAGGCCAATGTTGTAGTGTTCAATGATCCATGATTAATGAAATAACATAATATGTGATGTTGTTTATTACAAAAATAAAAATTTTACGAATAACAACAGCTGTTTAAAAACCACATGTTATAACCTACAATCTTCCACCTCACCATTAGTTTGGTTAAGAAAGGCTACTGTTCTTGATTTCACCATTAAATTAATTTTTTAGATTAATTTGTAAGTACTCCATGTTTTAAAGACAAAATTGCTAGTTTGATGTTTTATTTTAATTTGTTTAGTACCGGTAAGTTTAAATTTTGACCATTTAACTTATAGTTTGAAAATGTTGTTATGCATTTTACTCGCCTTCAATTGGACTATGAATGATTTTTAATACACTACAACTTAGGATCAAATAGCCGAGTATCCTTTTTTGAGCGACAAATTTTGACCTGAAAACTTGAATTTTTGAACCTGGAAACCTGAAATAGTCTTTGGATTTAATTTTCATGAGATGCTAGAGAAACCTGTGTAGTTGTGAAGGGTGGGCGTTGTGGGTTGAGTTGACAGGAACTTTCCGTCAAATCGTGCCAGGTCTGAATAGGGATTGGCAAATTTTGCTAAGATTATACTTTCTATTTTGTGGATCGTTTCAGATATTAATATTACTGAATTATTAGACTACTATCTTTTACCAAAAAGCAAGTGCTATTTGTGTTTGAGTTTCTATGCATCTTTTGTTAAGTTTTTTGTTATTAAATAATCCAAACCCTGGTCTGGATATTATTAAAATGCTTTTAAGTTTGGTAGCTTATCAATGCATTTTTAATTAACGCAGACTACTAATTTCTAAAAAAAAATTAACATTTATCAAAGTAGTTTTGTGAACAATGAATGAATTTCAAGTTCATAAATTTTTAACATAATAGAGGTATACAAGTCTTTTAATTGAACAGACAAAATGAAGAAAGTAAACAAAAAAAAATTATTTTACTGTCTATTTAAAATATACTGTAGCCTGTAATTATTTGCAGGGAAATGCTGCTTCCAGCATTCAACAGTTTTCTGGTGGATCGAAAAAAAAGTAAGTTATCTCCCATTTATTACTAAAATTGCCTTGAAAATAAAGTGCATGGATACCTGCTGAATAAATGAATGGACTATTTTCTGAACGACAATGAAATACTGGAGGTTATGATGAAGTAAAGGTAAAGAGCATCTTTCTTATCGGCTTCAAAACTAATTAGCCTATAAGATGGATACAACCAACTGTTGCAAAGCTTTTACTGATTCAATATAAAAAATATAATTGGATTAGGAAAGAATAAGATTATTGTCTTTTCAGTTACAAAGTTAACATCAACACTTATCAATCATTAGATAATCATAGGCTCAGTTAAATTGTCTTAGTATGTATATTTTACAGCTCTTCCAAAGAATCAAAAGACCTAGGCCTAGACCTAAATTATTTTTCACCACACTATGATGTTTTTGGCTGTATTACATACGTTAATTGGTGGCTGAAAGTTACGTTTTGCTGGCCATGCCAGCTGTCATCGTAATTTGGGGACCGAGCAGGTTTTTACAGGCCGGGGCCGCAAAATCAGCTGTCCGCTTACTTAAAACATGAATGCATTTTAAATACACAATCAAAATCCATAGCATTGCAATAGAATTGTGTTATTGTCACCGTTGCCTAGCAACTATTTATTTTTATTTTTGCTGATTCCTCAAATTATTGCTTCACATAACCTTAAAGTTGTAGTTGTGTTGACTATCAGTGTGCATTATTATAGTGGTGAATAGTGGTAATAGGGTATAGTGTGGTGAAAAATAGCGTTCGTACCACGTACCGAAATGGTTTTGCAGCTCTCGATCTCGAACTTAAAAACTATCTCGAGACGGCAAAACCTCATTTTCGGCCCTAGGTACGAAATATACTATATGAGGGCCTGTGTAAATTGCTTGAGTAAAAAAATGAAGTTATACAAGTAGCAAAGTCACTATCAACATTCTGGTTCATAAGATTTAGATTGTATAAAATGTGCACAAACACACTTAGTGGGGATGGGTAGCAGAAAAATATTTCAGTTCTGGCGGGGAACATGCAACTTGAGGTGGTTATAGTATACTAGTCCCTGAACCCAAAATCGCCCAGACCCCAATTTTACCAATTACCCAGAACTCGGTCGTCCGTAATGACGTCATCAAGATGGTGGCTGTAAAAGGATGCTGGGTAGCCATGAATTGGTTATAACACCCAAAGGTCTGAACCGATTTTAATGAAATTTGGCATACAAGTACTTGAATACATTATCTCGGCCCAGGTTGTCAATTGTCGAGTTTGATTAAATTGTTTAAAAATGGCGACCGTTAATAACTATAATAATAAAAATGTTTCAGTGTTTTGGTTTCTTAACTCCCTCCAGAGATCTGCCTCAACCTAGGTATTCATTTTCCTTGCAATCACAAGCTGTGATGCCATCTCTGCATTTCATGGAATAGGCAAAATACCCCCATCACAGCAAACCTGTAGACTAATAAGTGAGTTTCCATTTGCCTGATTTGATTTGCTTGGTTTGATTATGAATAACTTACATCGCTTTAACGGTTATTTAGGCTATTAAATTTATTTAGGAAAACTTGTTCCAAGGAAATTAAGGATAGATAATTAGAATTAAATAAGAGCTACAAAGAGCTGTGCAGTAAGAACAAATGTTGTATTATCAGAAAATAATAAACGACTTAGGACAAACCTCAGATAGTAGGACATTGTGGAAAGCAATCAATCGATTTAAATGTAATGACAGGCAGACTATAGTACTAAGACTTAGTACTATATTACTATGTACTGTACTATATTACTAGTACTGTATTAACTGACAAATTAATGGATAAGACATTTTGAAAAGCTGTTAAACCCTGCCCTGACGTCTTCAACAATTAATTTCGCTTTGCCTGAGATTGTAAATGGAAATTTAGATAGAGAGTTTACTATAGCTGAGATAAAACATGTGTTAAATAAAGCTAAGGCAGAAGAGGCTCCTGGCTAATACAGAGTACTCTATGAATTCTTTAAGAACGCAACCGGTTAGAAAAATTAATGACAATATATAACAACATTTTAATTGACTAAACAGTTCCGAATCCTTTTAAAAGCTCCTTTGTATTCCTGCTATTTAAGAAAGGAGATAAGGATAATGTAAACAACTATAGAGAGCTATCATTTATAGACTGTGTGTGTAAAATATTTACAGAACTGATTAATAACAGACTATATTCATGGCCGGTGGAACAAAATAAATTGACAGAGTTTCAGGCTGGCTTTAGAAAAGATTATTCAACTACGGCCAATATATTTTATTTATCATCAATGATCAAAATTAGTACTAATAGAAATAAAAAGCTGTTTTTTTTTGTGGATTTTTCCTCTGCCTTCAACACAATTGACAGAAAGTCGCTGATTTATAAATTATCATGTTTGGAGGTGTCAACAAAAATGTTAAACATTTTATCAGATTATTACGATGGCACGGTGGCAGGTGTGTGGTGCAAGGGCGGTGTCACAGAGTCGTTTGCTACAACAGCCGGTTTAAGAGAAGGGTGTAAATCTGAGCCCTCTTATGTTCTCATGTTCATAAATGATCTGCCAGATATTTTGGAAGGGGGGTGCAGTTTTGGCGGGTCCAGAGTTAATATCCTAATGTATGCAGACGATATTGTACTCATGTCACATAACAGCTCAAGGACTACAACACATGATTAAAAGGCTCGAAAACTATTGTGACATGTGGAAGCTGGTCGTAAACCTGAACAAATCCAAGGTCATGGTGTTTAGAAAAGGAGGTAGGCTAAGTGGAAACAATATATGGTGGTATAAAGGAGACCGTATAGAAGTAGTCAATCAATACAAATATCTAGACATAAAGTTTACATCTACATTATCATGGGGACATCATTTTAAAGAAACAGCCAGGATTGCCAATTTAGCGTTAAATGCTGTGTGGGGGAACCTGATCACCAACCCAAAGATGTCAATTAACACTAAATATATTTGTTCCAACTCCATTATAAAATCAATTGTATGCTATGGAGCACAGGTATGGGCTTTAAGGAGAGTAATTATGTTGAATCAATACATAAGCAATTTATCAGGAAGTTGTTCCGTTTGCCCCGCAATACACCAAATTATGTGATTTATCTAGAGACCCTATCAGTAAAATATACTTTTACACCTTGAGTCAAAATTTACTCTACATTTTAAAGAATCTGTCGTCAGAACCAAACCGCCAGACAAAAATCTTGGCCGAATAAATTGTAGACAAAAATATAGGCTGGAGCAGAGGATGGAGAATGTTGGGCCTCAGTTGTTAGATTTTAGATCAGACAGGTTGGACAGACTGCAGTCACAGCTGCAGTGTGACTTTTTTTAGAGTGTGGATGAGGGGGTGAGGGGGAGGTGGCGAGCCGACTGTCTAGGCAGAGCCCGTACATTGCTCTATCACAAACAATATCTGACCCTCGACTTGACCTCGGCAACAGACATGTATTGTGCCAAACCTCTGATATTAGAGTAATATCCTGGAGTATTAAAGCGAGAGCAGAACTTGTTGACCTTAATTTTAAACCTTGGATGACCAATAAAATCTTTACATACTCATCATGCATTATGCAATCTAGATGAAATAGAATCCGTTTTTCATTTTGTGTCCGTGTGCCCAATAGTAGGTAATAAAAGGAAACAAAAATTAATGCATTTAGTTTAAGCAAATTAGAATTTGATGAATTTAATTTTTATTTTACAAATTTCTGTTTAAAAGTGTCTGTATATTTCTTAGATTTTCTTCCCTAAAAAACTACTTGTTTAATTATTTTTATTCAATAAGTTGAGATGTATTGTTTTTGGTTATTTAATTCAATAAATTGAACCGTATTTCTTGTTGTTCAAGTAGCTATTTATTATTTTTCTCAGTATTTTATCGTGTTATTTTGATTATCAGTTATATATATATATATAGATTTATTTTTAGAGTAAATGTAACTTTGATGTTTTCAACTTTGACGGGAATTCAGTAGTCAGTTAAAACCGTGTACAATTCAGATTAGCTAGTTTACACATATAAAGACAAAGTTTCTTGCAGTTTTAATGTGAAAAATCATCTTGTAAACAAATGTTGTGTGACCAAATATGTTTTTATTCCATCATAGGCCTATACGATATGCATTTTAAATCCGATAATTTAAAAAAAAAAACAGCCATTCTGCAATTTTTACAATGTGAAAAGCGTTGAAGTGAGATTTGCAGCTGATTTGCACAGACGCACACTGATTATAAGTAGCCTACAATATAGAGAGTAATAGTCAATTGAGAAGTGTATAGACTTAGTCAATGATACCACCTTCCATAGCAAACCTGCCTCTTCCATAATTATTATCACCACAATACAACTACTATACACAATTTCCAGTAGGTCTGAATAGAAACGACCTAAAATAAAACGATAATATCCAATAAAATTCACAGTACACATAAATCGTCACACCTATCCTTTATATCAATTTCACTGCATTAATTGCTAAATAAATAAGTGTAAACAAAGAAAAGTAAAAACAATAACAGTTTGTTTTGAAATAGCTGTTTGGTTCAAATAACATTCATTTGAAAAAAAAGAACTCACGATTACTAAAAGAACTGGTCACATGTAGCAGGAATATAAAAAGTAAACATACTAGTAAAGCTAATGACGTAATTGTCAATGTTTACTATCCATACCGTTATCAGTTCTATCCTTAATAATTACCCACCCTCATTGAATAAGTGTAAATCGCAATTTCCCATATTAGTTAAATTAAACTACAATATATTCATAGTTGAAATAAAAGTGATATTTTCACGTTTGGGGGCGCTGATAGGCACCCCCAAACGTAACCACACTGAACACGATTTCATAAAAGGATGGTTAGTCTAATTGCAGTATCCTAGGTCAATGTTGACGTTGTGTTCAATCTTTGTATAAAACTCGGCTGAGGTTGTGGTGGTAATTTAAAATCTTGATTCCTGATTATTCTTGATCTTCTTTTTATGACATCAATATTTCCGGGCCTATAGTTAACCAGCTGTTAGTTAAAACAAATTATATTGCTCTAAAACAAATCGAAGATTACTAAGATTGCTTTAAAAAAATAATTTGAACATCCTAGTATTTTACTATGTATAATTTAATTAATCTGTCATCCTCTTACAGAAGAATTGAACGTATCAATGATTTGCATTACACATAGTATAAATAAGTCAACAGTATGTATGTCTTTACATTTTTATCCAAATGCTGGATTTGTGACACAAACGCTGAATGTTTACAGCTGTTATGTTAAGCAAATTATTTTATGCCAAAAGCTAGTTTAGAATCATAGCGTCGGCTGCTAGACTTTTTAAAAATTAAAACTTAGTTTCTAAAAAACTGGGACCCTAAACTAAATTTATGGCTTCGACATTCCCTAGTTCTCAAAATTATCTTTCTTTCAACACAAAAGTCATGAAAATCCGTCAAGTGGTTGATTCAGAACCGTGAAATAAAAAAAACACTGTTTCGTTTTAATATTATAGATTTTCTGGGATTAATTTTAAAAACTGTTCACCAACATACGTTGTTTTTTTTTTTTTCATAGAGCTTCAGCCTGTGCTGATTTTGCCTTGTAGAGTTCTTTTTTCTAGTGTTATAATGACGTGTTGGTTCGTGAGGGACATCATTAGGAATTTTTTTTCTTTGCACACAAAATGATGTCAAGAACGTATTGGCCATAAACCGTCAATATTTTTAACTGTTTGAAATGTTGTCTGGCCGAATCATCTTGATTCAATTTCAGCATTACTCTTATAGACCTTTTTTGGAGTCTTAACATACCATCCAAGTTTGCTTTTTTTGTTGCTTCAAATAAACAAATACCAAAAGAAATATGAGAATGTATGTAAGCAAAATAAATATTTTTCAGTGTTGTTAAATTACAATAAAAAGATATTTTTGAAAGCGCATGAATTGCAGAGTTCATTTTGTCAAGATCTTGTTTACGTGTTCATTCCAATTAAGGTGTATATCGATAGTCAGGCCAAGAAAATTTGTACTTGACTTTGGATCAATTATGTGGGAATCAAACATAATCATTGGTTCTATTTGACTTCTACTTTGTGGAGTTTTAAATGTAATAAAATTTGTTTTATCATGATTTAATGTTAAACTAGTAAACACGTTGCTCGATATCGAGCAATTGCAAAGAAGTAAAGTAGTTATTTAAAAACAAATAAAAGTCATCATAATTTCCCATGAGTTTAAAAGACTCAACTCATAGATTACGTACCTAACCAGTTCCATACAATCAACATTTCTTGTAAATATTTTATCATTTTTCAAAAGCTGATCTGGTTTTTTTAATGTTTCCCACTATAGCCGTAGTAGGTTGTCTGTGTTGATCTTCGTCAATGATAATGTAGGCTGCATGGTACCACCCATTGTCGCCAAATGGACCGAAAATAGACCCTTGCGGAACGCCATATTTTATTGTCTTTAATAAATCTAAATCTGATGCTGTCTTAATGGTTTTATTGTTTTTTCAATGTGTGATTTCAACATATTGAGTTCTATTTGTTAGATATGAATGAAACCATTGCAATGAATTATTTGATACTCCAATAGTTTGTAATTTTTTCAAAAGTAAAGAATGTTTGACACTATCAAAAGCTTTAGCAAATGGAAACTCAATACTCACTTAGTCAGCAGGTTTGCTGTATGTAGGGGTATTTTGCCTATTCCATAAAATGCAGGGACGGCATCACAACCTGTGTTTGAAAAATAAATAGGTTGCTGCAGATCTCTGGAAGAAGTTGGGAACACAAAACACTGAAACATTTTTATTATTTTAGTTATTAACGGCCACCATTTTGAAATGACTTGATCAAACTCGACCATTGACAACCTAGGCCGAGATAATGTATTCAAGTACTTGTATGCCAAATTTCATTAAAATCGGTTCCGACCTTTGGGTGTTATAACCAATTCATGGCTACCCAGCATCCTTTTACAGTCGCCGCGCCATCTTGATGACGTCATTACAGACGACCGACGTCCTTAAAAATTGTGGTCTGGGTGATTTTACATTCAGGGACTAGTATACTATAACCATCTCAAGTTGCATGTTCCCCACCAGAACTGAAATATTCTGTTACTTTATACATACAACCCCACTAACTAAAAAAATTTAAAACACAAACAATCAACAATATAAAACAAAGGTACAGACAATGCAATGACATGATTTAAGACCAATTAAGCCTGGATAACATTAAAAAAATCTGAACCGTAACATAACGTTACGGTGCAGAGGGCGGTGTGGCATGGCCTCAAAAGCTTATTCCCTATATGGGAAAGTCGATTAAAAAGCACCTTTCCTGAAGCAGCAAACCTCAGTACTTATTAAAACCTAATGGTATTTAAATAGGGTAGGGAATAAACAAATCTGGCATTTTTTAATTTAAGGAAATATTTTAGTAAATAAAATAGAAATCTGCTTAGTCTGCAGGTTTAGTGCGGCGGAGATATTTTTTATGTACCGTAGCCTATATTGTTTTTTTTTATTTTGAAGATAAGTTTCCCTACATATAAACTTTCTTCACTTTAAAAAAACATTGTTATAAAATGTAAAACATACTTGAAAACTCTTCAAATGATTTTTTTATCTTATACTGTCTATTTAAAAAAATTTGGCTTTTCTTTTCCGAGCTCGTTTGGTTCTTCTACCCGGCTGATTTTCATGATCGAGATCTCAAATTGAAGGCACAAACAGATTTTATTCAACTGTTCATCAACCGTTTCATCCGTTTCATCAACCATTGGCATATATTTATCTATTGTATTACTCAACCAAAAAACATAAATTTGATTTATTTTAGAACTCTTACTTCAATTTAAGATGTATTTCATGAGTTATAATTATATAATCCTATATATTTTGGTCTAAAAACCTTCAGTAAAATACCGGCATTCATTTAAGCATTTAGTTATTCAAATCGGACGAGTTTCAAACAAACTCAAGGTAAACACCAACATAAAAATTAGTTTTTATGAGGTTTTCTATGATTAAAAATCAATAGCTCCAGTATTGTTTATGTATTTTTATATGTTTTAGACTCAAAATAACCAGTAAATTATAGGCTTTAATTTGAGCTATTGATCGTTTGAATAAGTTAAGCTCAAGATACTGGTATTACTCATTCAAAAATCATAAATATGATTATTTTTCTGATATGATATTTATTTTAACGCGGGTCCTCTAGTATTGCATTAATTTGTTGTATCAATGTATTAAATAATTTAATAACTCATTGTTATTCATGTCCAGGGAGAAGAGCGATTGTCTGAGAGAAACTGATACTGAGGCAACTGTAGAACGGTTGTCTGGGGGACATCTGCTCTCTCCAGCTGAGACCCAGGTAACATAACAGTTGATAATGACGACTCAGGTTGTTTATGAGCTCCTACAGCTACCTACCTTGACACACTACCACCCATTATTGATACTGAGGCAACTGTAGAACGGTTGTCTGGGGGACATCTGCTCTCTCCAGCTGAGACCCAGGTAACATAACAGTTGATAATGACGACTCAGGTTGTTTATGAGCTCCTACAGCTACCTACCTTGACACACTACCACCCATTACTGATACTGAGGCAACTGTAGAACGGTTGTCTGGGGGACATCTGCTCTCTCCAGCTGAGACCCAGGTAACATAACAGTTGATAATGACGACTCAGGTTGTTTATGAGCTCCTACAGCTACCTACCTTGACACACTACCACCCATTATTGATACTGAGGCAACTGTAGAACGGTTGTCTGGGGGACATCTGCTCTCTCCAGCTGAGACCCAGGTAACATAACAGTTGATAATGACGACTCAGGTTGTTTATGAGCTCCTACAGCTACCTACCTTGACACACTACCACCCATTACTGATACTGAGGCAACTGTAGAACGGTTGTCTGGGGGACATCTGCTCTCTCCAGCTGAGACCCAGGTAACATAACAGTTGATAATGACGACTCAGGTTGTTTATGAGCTCCTACAGCTACCTACCTTGACACACTACCACCCATTACTGATACTGAGGCAACTGTAGAACGGTTGTCTGGGGGACATCTGCTCTCTCCAGCTGAGACCCAGGTAACATAACAGTTGATAATGACGACTCAGGTTGTTTATGAGCTCCTACAGCTACCTACCTTGACACACTACCACCCATTACTGATACTGAGGCAACTGTAGAACGGTTGTCTGGGGGACATCTGCTCTCTCCAGCTGAGACCCAGGTAACATAACAGTTGATAATGACGACTCAGGTTGTTTATGAGCTCCTACAGCTACCTACCTTGACACACTACCACCCATTACTGATACTGAGGCAACTGTAGAACGGTTGTCTGGGGGACATCTGCTCTCTCCAGCTGAGACCCAGGTAACATAACAGTTGATAATGACGACTCAGGTTGTTTATGAGCTCCTACAGCTACCTACCTTGACACACTACCACCCATTACTGATACTGAGGCAACTGTAGAACGGTTGTCTGGGGGACATCTGCTCTCTCCAGCTGAGACCCAGGTAACATAACAGTTGATAATGACGACTCAGGTTGTTTATGAGCTCCTACAGCTACCTACCTTGACACACTACCACCCATTATTCACTTAACCCTTAATCTTATCCCATAATTATCTGTCTACTGTTACTGTTTTACCTTTCATTATTTGATAACATTTATTTATTGTTATCATCTCTTCCTCAACCATCAAAACCTTAAAACTGTGAATTAACCATGAACTTTATTAACATGATTAAATAAACCTGGAATAAGCTGTGTGAATTTCAAGATCAAATGTTCAAAATAGAGATGGGTCTATTCTGATTCTCGATACCACAAAACTGTTGGTACCGATGGTATCGAAGAAATGTTAATTCTCAAAGGTCAATACCAACTCATCTACCATGATCGCAGCGGTGCAACTTAGGTCAAAGCATCAATCAACAACAAGTTAAAAGTTACATAACGAAGTTAAGAAACTCACCTGTACAAGAATTAGGATACCCCAAGTTCACTATCAAACCTGTACTGCAGTCTGATGTTCTGAAATCTATTCAACGTATCCGCAGTAATGCTATTGGATCTGATGGCATTCCAATTCGCTTTATTAACGACATTCTCTTTGCTATACTCCCCACTATCACCTGCATTTTCAACACATCTCTAAGGCAAAGCACATTCCCGATTTCTTGGAAGTCTGCCCTAATTTGTCCCTTAAATAAGATTCCAGCACCTGCTTCTTGCCAGGATTTCAGGCCGATTAGTATATTGCCCGCATTATCTAAAGGCCTTGAAAGAATCGTGCACTGCCAAATGACTGAGTTTCTGACTGAAAACAATATCTTATGGATCCCACAGTCTGGCTTTCGAACAGCTCACAGTACAGAAACAGCACTCTTACGTGTGAAGGACGACATTAGACTAGCAATGGAACATCGGCAGGGTACGATACTTACCCTATTTGATTTTACTAAAGCCTTTGACTGTGTAAATCATAAGCTCCTCTTGGAAAAGGCCATAGGGTTTTCAAATGGTGTATTGGACTGGCTGGGATCCTATCTGTCAGACAGGCGGCAGTGTGTTGAGGTTGATGACTTACGTTCTGACTGGGAGACAGTTACTAGTGGTGTGCCTCAGGAGGCCCTCTGCTGTTCATACTATACATAAATGACTTGAGCTCAGTCCTCACACACTGTAAATACCACATGTATGCTGACAACTTGCAGATTTATACACATTTTTCACCCAAACAGATCAACGAAAGTGTTCTCAACGAAGATATTGAGAAAATCATTATTTGGACAAATAAACACAGACTCAGACTTAACCACGAAAAAACTAAACCGATCATAATTTGTCATCCACGTTTACGGAACTCTATTGACTTTCTGACAACGAATCCAATAACTATAAATGGAACAGATTTGCTTTACAGTGACAAGGTCAAAAACTTAAGGCTTACTATCAACTCGTCACTTACTTGGGGCGATGCGGTAGTAGACATCCGTAAAAAGATGTTTGCATCAATCCACTCACTTAAAAAGTTACAGAATTTCTTGCCTTTGCACATAAAGTTACACCTGGTCAAATCACTTGTTTTTCTCCACTTCACTTACTGCAGCTCTGTGATCAATGACATGACTGTAAACCTCGATGATGCTCTCCAACGCGCTCAGAACTACTGCCTAAGATTCATTTATGATCTAAGACGCAGTGAGCGCATCACCCCTTTCTACATTCATTCTAAGTTATTAAAGCTATGTGACCTGAGATCAATCAAAATTCTTTCGCTAACCTATTCAATATTAAAAAACAATTTTCCAAAATATTTTGTAGATGATTTTAGGTTTGTAGCTGAAGAAAGTGTTAGATACTCATGCCATGCATCATTAACTTTGCGCATGCTTCACCATAGGACCGCAGTTTACGACAGAGCGTTTGTTGTAACTGCTTGCCGTCTTTGGAACGATCTCCCTTTAGCTATTAAATACCTCGATAGTCGTTCCCGGTTTGTGGCAGCACTAAAAATCTCTATTTTGAACGTATGACCATGGTAAAAGATGGCAAAACGACAAATGTCAACACTTGAACTTGCTCTGGAAGCTATCTATCCTTAAGCATTATAGCATTATAAGAGTGTGACGATTTTAAGTGTCAAGGGGTTTTTTTCTCCTGAACTAGGCTAGGCTACCTACATTTTTGTGTGAATAAGTAATACAACTAAACCAAGTTAAAACCAAAACTAAATATCCAGGTAATAGTTTTTAATGTAAACCCCAATCAAGGGCTGCAAACGATTCTTCAGGTTAAAACTACTCGTTATCCAATCCTAAAGTATCTTTTGCACCTATAAATAAAATAAATAGGTACTTAAATCTTGATTTGATTTCAAACAACATTTTCATTAAATACAACAAGAGGTTCTACCCGCGAATTCACGGGTGTACAGAAGCCACCATTAAATTAATTTAATCAACTTTGACTTTATATTTCATTCAAAGGGCCCAAGTTCGAGAAATTGTCATCTGAAAGGATGGTAAAATCATGGAAGGATGGAGCCTTCAAACCTTACATCCTGAGGTGGCCGAGGTGGGTGTTGTACCTGAACTCGCCGCTCTCTTTCACGACGTCTTTAATACTTTACTTAAATACTTTTCAATGAAATGGTGACCTATTAAAGATCGGTGACAACCTCGTGGAACAAACAACATACATGGTTTGTTAATCTTGTATTCATCGTGTTTCGAACACCTTTAATCACTTACTTGTAGCAAACAGCTAGAAATAGCTTCACTGTTTATTCACCTCACCTCTTTTAAGAACATAAAAGTAAATAATAAAATAAGTAAACAAAAATGTAAACAAACAAACTATATTGTCAATTGCATTGGCCAGCTGTTGTTCACTAAATTAATTGAGTCACGTTAATTTCCAAAACATGCAAGGTGTAGCCCTTTGCAGTGTTGGGAAGTAGCGGGCTACAAGTAGCGACGCTACAGTAGCGCGCTACTTTTTTTGTAGCGTTAGCTGTAGCTACGCTACTTTTAAGATTTTGTAGCTTTAGCTGTAGCTAGCTACATTTTTAAAGTAGTTGTAGCGGAATTTTAGCTACTTTTCTCGCTACATTAACATTTGTTTGAGATAGTGATTTTTATCATAACCTCAACCTTACGTGAAACAACCTCTTTCAAACTAAGATTTTCAAAAAAATTAGGCCTACTTTCTTGGCTTCAAACAGCTGGTTGCAGCCGTTTCATTCCTTATTACAACGTTGTGTGGACATAGAGGCCATTAAATGAGTGTTATCCACATTTTTGGCTCTCATTTCCTTAATTTACTACTCTATGATTACTGTCAGATAAAATAAAATCGCTAGGTGCAGACGACGTTTAAACGGTACCGGTGACAAGAGAAGCTATTGAATTGAATGCTTGCAAGTGATTGACAGGACAGGGGAATCTATTATTCTAATTCCGTAAGGAATTTCTTGTGCACAGCAAAACTCTTTTATTTATGAACCGATTTTGATGATTAAGGTGTCAAATTAAAGAGAATTCTCTGTATTCACTGAAAAACAAAGTATTTTAAAAAGCAGGGCAGTTCCTTTTTGAATGAATTTTCAATCTAATTGTACAAATGATAGCATTTGGTGAATACATTTCTACAATAATGCTTGATTGTGAGAGAGAGAAGGTTGAATTAAAATCGACCATCAAATTATTTAACGGATTAAATATCTATTATTCTAATTCCTTAAAGAATTTCTTGTGCACAGCAAAACTCTTTTATTTATGAACCGATTTTGATGATTAAGGTGTCAAATTAAAGAGAATTCTCTGTAGAAGTCATGGA